ATACAGCCATGTTATTACTGTATCTGGGGAGATCGCATAGGTACAGGTATCGGGGAAGTGATACCTGGGATAATGATATTGATAATGATGCTATATTTCTGTTTTTTTTTCCTGTTTTTTACACTTGTAGAAGGTCGTTGAGGTCGCCGAAGGAATGGCAATGATGATGATTAATGATAATGAGTATTATAACACACCTCCTTCGATGTTGTCCCTGCATCTGTCTGTATTTCCGGGAAGATCACAATTTTTGTCAATGAAATAATAATATTAGTTAATAACATCGATCGTTACATTATATCCCATTATATCCCCCCTCGATTATACTCCTTGTAAGATCGCAAAAGGTCATACGCAGCGACAAAGAGAGCAGATTATCCACCTTAGATACACGGTCCTCCTTCAGGCACCGGGCATTGCAGAATCACCCGAAGGCAACTGATGTGTTGCAAGAGACCTACGTGCTTGGAGAACCCGCTGGCATTCCCTAAAACATGACCCTCCCTGAAGTCTGGCAGATTCAGAACCGAGCAGCCGTTTCTTGCGGTTCAGGAAGAAAGATTGTGTGGTCATAGGTGCGTCTTGTTAGCAACTATGTAGAACCGTATTTATGTTGACAATTGTAGAAAGGTATGAACGAGAATGAATATCTTCACAAGACTTGAGATGTATTTGACCGGTTTCGAAGATATTCATTCTCATTCATCATATGTAGAAGTGTGTTTTGGAAGGGCAAGGGAACTGCAAAAGAGTAGAGAGAGAGAGAGAGAGAGAGAGAGAGAGAGAGAGAGAGAGAAGAGAGAGAGAGAGAGAGAGAGAGAGAGAGAGAGAGAGAGAGAGAGAGAGACAGACAGAGACAGAGACAGAGACAGAGACAGACAAGACAGAGAAAGAGACAGAGAGAGAGAGAAAGAATCCCATCCATAACATAACTCGACCCTCACTATAAACAATTAGAATCTACCCCTACAAATCCCAGAGCCTTTAGTAATCCTCATGAATTATTTATATTATTATAAACCTTCAATATATGACCCAAAAAGATATCTTGATAAACTATTCTCTCGTGAACTGAAGATGAAATTTCCCCAACGTCTGAAAGTACTGGAAGACACACACGCATTCCATAGTTTTCACGTGCATTCAGAAATCTCTCTCTCTCTCTCTCTCTCTCTCTCTCTCTCTCTCTCTCTCTCTCTCTCTCTCTCTCTTCTCTTCTCTCTCTCTCTATCTCTCTATCTCTCTCTCTCTCTCACTCTTCCCTTATCCACTTCAAAGAACGAACGGGAGAGAGAAATAAAACGAACTGTTTTGAAGAAGATTGAAATAGTATCTTTTCTATGGTTAAGGTATGCAGAACGGAGAAGAAATAGAGATAAGAGAAAACGATAGAATGAGATGAAGAGAGGAGAGGAATGGTAATAATGAAATCAAAGAGAGTAAGTGAAAGGGAGAGAGAAAAGAGTAAGAGTAAAAGAGAGTAAATGAGAGGGAGAGAGAAAAAGATAAGAGTAAAAGAAAGTAAGGGAAATGGCAAAAGAAAAGAGCAAGTGAAAGGGAGAGAGAAAAGAGTAGGAGTAAGAGTGACAGAAAGCGAGCTAAACAGGAAGCGGGAACTATTTATATAAACAAGGGAAGATACACATACACAAAGCGCTGTATTACGAAATCTGTGTACATTGACCTCAGATTAAATGGCATAACTTTCCAGATTTCCGATTTTAATGATGGGTTCAGAGGAAGAGTTTGATAGAGAATTTGCATAAAACCAATTACTGATTTTATAATGAGTAACATGTTTCTTTTTGCTTGCTTTATGACGCTACGGTATACATACACAACCACACACACACACACACACACACACACACAAACACACACACACACACACACACACACACGCACACGCGCACACACATACATAAACACACACATAATGATGATGATAATAACAGAAATAATGATGGTAATAATAATAATGGTAATAATAATGGTAATGATAATGGTAATAATAATGGTAATGATAATGGTAATAATAATGGATGATATGGATAATGATAATGGTAAAAATATACAATAATGATAATATCAATAACTATAACAATAGTAATAATGATATTGATACTACTATTCCTACCAATGACAGTAATGATGATGATAATAATGATAATGATATCAACAATAATAATAACAATAATGATAACAAATTATCATAACAATAAAATACCAATAATAGTAATTATAATAATAGCATCAACGATAACAAATTATAGTAATAATAATAATAATTGTTGTTGTCATCATTATTATCATTACCACTATCATTATTGCTTTTGATTTTTTCATTATCATTATTATCATCATTATCATTATAATTCATTGTCATTATCATTATTCTTTTCAACATTATTGTTATCATTATCATTACTATCACTGTTATAATGATAATGATAACAGTAATAATAATGGTAACACTGATGATAATGATGATAGCAATAATAAGAATAACACTAATGATAAAACAATGATAACAATTATGATATATATTGAAAACTATAAAAATAATAATAATAAAGACAATGATGATAATGTTGACAACAATAATAATCCAAATAACAGTATTAAGGTAATTACAACAGTAATGATAATAATGATAGGAATCATAACAATAACAAGTTATGAAGATAATAATTGCAATAACATCAACAGAAGCAACATAATGAAAATTATAATGATGATAAAGGTAATAATAATGATAGTAATAATATTAATGATAATAATAATAAGTAATAATAATTATATCAATTATAATAACGATAATGTATAGTAGTAGTAGTAGTTGTTGTTATAATGATAATAATAATAATAATAATAATAATAATAATAATAATAATAATAATAACAATAACAATAATGATAATAATAATAATAATGAAATAATAATAATATAATAATAATAATAATAATAATAATAATAATAATAATAAATAATAATAATAATAATAATAATAATAATAATAATAATAATAATAATAATAATAATAATAATAATAATAACAAGAGTAGGAAGAAGATTAATAATTAGAATAATAAAAAAACGAACTTTGAAAAAAATAGAATGAGTAAGACGAAGAAAAATAACAATAACAACGACAACAACAGTGATAACAAGAATGGAAATATATATCATAATTACAATACAAAAGACAACAGTAGTAACAACAGCAATAATCACATCATATATACTACACAAAACCCCTAGTAAAGAGGTATAATGACAATGCATTCCTAGTTAAGTACTCTTTACGTCGAATAAGTGTCAAGTCAAGTATATCATTATATTCTTAAGTATATGTCGATGTGTCTTTGTTTATGTTCAGAAGCTCTGTTATGAATATATGCGTGGGAGAGGGAAGGTAATAAGAACGTTCATGACATAACAAAGCACAAGGAACGAACAGAAGAAGAGAAAGAGAGAGAGAGAGAAGACAAGAAGAGGAAAATATAGCATACGTATTCCGCCAGCAGAACGAGGTCATCGAAAGGTCATATCTCATACATCTTATTATATGCAGCGAAATACGTGTAGCGAGAAAGTAGGTCAGTTGATAAAGGATGTCTCGGAGGTATTCAACATCGTGTCTAAACAAGCCATTCATGTTATGGGTCGTTTGATGACGTCATCCAATTCTGTGAGGGGGTGCTGAGTGTTTTGTACAGTCTCGTTCAGGTGTTGGCAGTCGTATCCGCATGAACAATAGTGTGTGTGCAAGCAAGTTAGGGATATGAAGCACGATCAGGGACAGCAGATACAAAATAAACAAAAGAAATAACGCGTATTCCCAAAAACGAAGCACCAGCTATCTGACGGAAATACAAAAGAACTGCGGATGAGACCTCTCTGCGTGTAAACAATGAGGTGTTTGTAAGTATTAACATCAACTAGATTGTGTAATTGTAGAATGCCACTTTACAGCTTTTGTTTTCGTTGATGTTGAGGGTAATCCACTGAAACAACGTTTATTATTGACGTATTATATATGTATATATATATTTATACTTCGAAGATATCACAGTCTACACAGCACTAACAGGAGGCCGCCAAGGCACTTATTTTACACTGGGTTCAATTACAAAAAAAGAAATTCTCACTAACACTCTTCGTATCACATGTAGTCAGGATATTTACATTTGGCACTTCAAAGTAACATGTTTTATCACCATATATAACCGTGAGCAAAGGAAATGCAATAAAGCAGAAGCACCATGGAGATAAATCGTTCTTGATCACAAAACAGCCTTTGCAGGAAGTTCACCAGATCGTATATTTTATGCGGGTTCAAGAAATTCACGCTCGAATGTTTGTCAATGGCCTTCAGTGTTGGAATAATGTTCTTTTTCAAGGTTCAAGGTGGAGAGGGCACGTCTTTTAAGGTTCAAGGTGGAGAGGGCACGTCTTTTCAAGGTTCAAGGTGGAGAGGGCACGTCTTTCAAGGTTCAAGGTGGAGAGGGCACGTCTTTTAAGGTTCAAGGTGGAGAGGGCACGTCTTTTAAGGTTCAAGGTGGAGAGGTTGGTGGTGCGAAGAGGGCACTTCTTGTTTTTTAAAAGGGGAGGTTTGAAGGCAGTAATATTTCATAATTTTCAAGGTTCAAATGCGGTAATAATGGCACAGAGTAAACACCAACACTACCTCTTCACTGCAACGTTAGCTTTACAGTCTCTCTGTCTTATTTTCTTTCACCCTCTCTCTCTCTCTCTTTCTCTTCCTCTCCCTCTGCCTCTACCTCTACCTCTCCCTCGCCCCCCTCCCTCTCTTCTCTCTCTCTCTCCCTCTCCCTCCCCCCTTTCTCTCTCTCCTCCCTCTCTCTCTCCTCCCCCTCTCTCTCTCCCTCCCCTCTCCCTCTCCTCCCCCCTCTCTCTCTCCCCCCCCTCTCTCTCTCCTCCCTCCCCCTCTCTCTCTCCTCCCTCCTCTCTCTCTCCCTCCTTCCCCCCCTTCTCTCTCCCTCCTCCTTCTCTTTCTCTCTCTTACCCTTTCTCTCCTCTCTCTCCTCTCTCTCTCTCCCTCCGATGCTTGATTGTCATTTCTCTCTCTCTCTTACTGGTGTTCCTTCTCTCCGTCTGTTGCTGTGGCCTCACTGGGGGTTGCACCTTCCGGGTATCTGGGGAAGGAGGCTGACTGAGTGACCTGCATTTAGATGAATGACCTTCGAGATCATGATTGTGGAAATAATAACAATGATAATAATTATCATAATAATAATAGTAATGATAGTAGTAGTAATAATAATAATAATAATAACAACAATGATAATAATTATCATAATAATAATAGTAATGATAGTAGTAATAATAATAATAATAATAATAATAACAATGATAATGGTAATGATAATGATAATGATAATAACAATAATAATAACAATAATAATAATAATAGTAATAATAATAATAACAATAATAATGGTAATAATAACGGTAATAGTAAAAGGAATCATAGTAATAGTAGTAGTAACAATAATAATAATAAAGGTAATTGTAATATTACTAGCAATAATGATTATGATGATATGATGATGTTGCTGATGTATATACATACATACATACATACATATACTATATATATATATACATATATATATATATATATATATATATACATATATATATATATAATATATATATATACATATATAATATATATATATAATATAATATATATATATATATTATATATATATATATGTGTATATATATATATATATATATATATATATATATATATATATATATATATATATATATATATATATATATACATATACATACATGTATGAAAAGGAAAACAGCCACAATCCGGAATAAAAATAAAGCGATTTATTTGTGTGTGTGTGTGTGCTTGTATATTTGTTTACGTGCATATATATGTGTATATATCAGCGTAAACACCAAAAGCAAATGACTGATATTAATATTAGATTCGCTTACACTCACCGATACAAAATGCATCTTGGTCCTTTGTTGTGCAATCCGTCGCCTAAGTAGCTCATGCACCAGTATCTGGCTGATTAATAAACCTAATTAGTCTTTGATTTTATATAAAAAGAAGAAAATCAGGAAATAGACGATTTGTCAGGGGCGGGGACTGTAAAGTGAGGAAATAGATTTGAAAAAATTGCTAGACTCTGTTGGATTTAAGGATATGTACTTAATTTTATGGCATTACTCTTTTTTGTGAAGAGAAAAAAATAAGTCACTTCATTTTACCATCACTTCGGCGGAGAAGACGCGGCTGCCTCCCGCTGCTCGTCCCTCTCCTCCACCAGGCGTCTGAAGGCGAAGTGGGTCTTTCTGCGAGCCTGGTTTAGCGATGTCAGCGCCTTCAGCATCGCCGAAGATCTGCTGACGGCGGTGTCTGCGGGAGGGGCGGTCGACGCATCTCCTGCCGAGCCGGACGGGTTGGGCGGGTCTGCAGGCGCGGCAGGATCGGCCACGTCCTGCGGCGGAGGAAGCAAAGTCACTCTTTCTGGGTGGGCGGAGGCCGACGCGGGCGTGGCCTGCTGCTGCGTCGGGAGGTCTGTCGCGTCCGTGCTCTGTGGCGCTGTTGGGGGGCTCGCGTGGACGCCCTCGAGGAGGCCCTGGCTCTCGCCCCCGTCCTCCTCCGTCGCCGCCGCGGGTCCGGGCTTCGTCTTGCTGACGATCTGGAAGAGCTCGGCGTAGCTCGGGGGCGGGGGCTCGCTGACGCAGACCTCGTCGTACCTCGGGGGCAAGTCCATGCTATGCGGGGGCGGACTTGGGGGCGTCGCGACCTCCGCCTCCACGCCCTCGGCGCTCGCGCCGTCAGCGCCCCCCCGCGTCCTCTTGCGCAGCTGTGCTTTGTAGCGGCAGTAGTGGCAGCACCGCACGCACACGCCCACGAAGAGCACCATGGCGCCGATGGGGATGAAGGCGTGGAACGTGCCCTTGGTGTGGCCGCGGGACGCCGTGTGCAGGTACCTGTAGTCGCCCTCGGGATAGCCCAGGCTGGGGAGCTTCGGGTACGGGTTGGAGTGCCTGGCGTCCGAGGTGTAGGACAAGGCGACCTCGGTCTTCTTATCGAAGACGAAGGTCAGCCCGGGGCCCGAGAGGCAGGCGTCCAGCGACGGCCACCTGAGCTTCATCGAGTAGGACCTCACCCCTTCTATCACCAGCCGAAGGGCCTCCCCCTCCGTGCGGAAGTAGAACAGGTACCACTGGAACCCCAAGACGTCCATGAGGTACCCCTCGACGCTCACTTGCGCCTCCAAGTCCACAGTGAAGTTTCTGCGGAGTCCGCATTTCAAGGAGGACACTTCGAACCGCACCTTGTCCGCAACGGAATGTATGTACACACGATCCCTTTCCTCGAGAGTGACGTTCTTCCCGACGGGCTTGAGCACCCTCGTGGACAGCTTGGCCGCGTGCGCACCGCTGGCGTCGTCCACCAGCAGCATCCCGACCACCAGCAGGAGTAACGCGAGACCGCACAGCCACATCCCTTTAACAGTCCCGTCACTCATTTAACCCCCTTCGAACTCTCTCCTCCTCTGATGTAGCTTTTCAAAGACCGAGGCGGTGGGGGTGCTGTCAGCGAGCCGAGAGATCGTGCGTGTGTACCCTTCCCCGACGACTAGATAACTGATCTCGCGG